CAGCCTACTCCTACCCTACTACTACCTGTATTATACAGCCTACTCCTACCTGTATTATACAGTCTACTCCTACAGTACTACTACCTGTATTATACAGTCTACTCCTACCTTACTACTACTAGTATCTGTATTGTAAAGTCTACTCCTACCCTACTATTATACAGTCTATTCCTACCATACTACTACATGTATTATTTGTTATACTCCTAGCCCACTACTACCTGTAATATACAGTCTACTCCTACCCTACTACTATTTGTACTATACAGTCTACTCCTACCCACTACAGTACTACTACCTGTATTATACAGTCTACTCCTACCTTACTACTACTAGTATCTGTATTGTAAAGTCTACTCCTACCCTACTATTATACAGTCTATTCCTACCATACTACTACATGTATTATTTGTTATACTCCTAGCCCACTACTACCTGTAATATACAGTCTACTCCTACCCTACTACTATTTGTACTATACAGTCTACTCCTACCCTACTACCACATGTATTATTTAGTCTACGCCTACCCTACAACTACTTATACTATACAGTCTACTCCTACCCTACTAAATCTTTATTATACAGTCTACTCCTACCCTACTTCTATTAGCATTATACAGTCTACTCCTACCCTACTACTACCTGTATTATACAGTCTACTCCTACCCTACTACTACCTTTAATATACAGTCTACTCCTACCTTACTACTACTATTATCTGTATTGTAAAGTCTACTCCTACCTGTACTATACAGTCTACTCCTACCGTACTACTACCTGTATTATTCAGTCTACTCCTACCCTACTATTCCCGGCATTATACAGTCTACTGCTACTTTACTACTACCTGTATTAAATAGTCTAGTCCTACCCTACTACTAACTGTATTCTATAGTCTACTCCTACCCTACTACTCCTGGCACTATGCAGTCTACTCCTACTATCTGTATTGTAAAGTCTGCTCATACCTGTATTATACAGCCTACTACTATCGGTATTATATAGTCTACTCCTACCCTATTACTACCTGTATTATATAGTCTACTCCTACCCTACTACTACCTTTAATATACAGTCTACTCCTACCTTACTACTACTATTATCTGTATCTGTATGTCTACTCCTACCCTACTTCTATTAGCATTATACAGTCTACTCCTACCCTACTACTACCTGTATTATACAGTCTACTCCTACCCTACTACTACCTTTAATATACAGTCTACTCCTACCTTACTACTACTATTATCTGTATTGTAAAGTCTACTCCTACCTGTACTATACAGTCTACTCCTACCGTACTACTACCTGTATTATTCAGTCTACTCCTACCCTACTATTCCCGGCATTATGCAGTCTACTCCTACCTTACTACTACTATCTGTATTGTAAAGTCTATACCTATATTATACAGACTCATACCTATATTATACAGACTACTCCTACTTTACTACTACATGTATTATATAGTCTACTCCTACCCTACTACTCCCTGTATTATAAAAAGTGTACTCCTACCCTACTACTACCTGTATTATACAGTTTACTCCTACCTTACTACTACTACTACTACTACTACTACTACTACTACCTGTATTATACAGTTTACTCCTACCTTACTACTACTACTACTACTACTATCTGTATTGTAAAGTCTACTCCTACCTGTATTATACAGTCTACTCCTACCCTACTAATACCTCTATCATGCAGTCTACTTCTACCCTACCACTCCCTGTATTATACAGTCTAATTCTACCCTACTACTACCTGTATTATACAGTCTACTCCTACCCTACTACTACCTGTATTATATAGTCTACTCCTACCATACTACTCCCTGCATTATATATTCTACTCCTACCTGTATTATACAGTCTACTCCTACCATACTACTCCCTGAATTATATATTCTACTCCTACCTGTATTATACAGTCTACTCCTACCATACTACTCCCTGAATTATATATTCTACTCCTACCTGTATTATACAGTCTACTCCTACCATACTTCTCCCTGCATTATATATTCTACTCCTACCATACTACTCCCTGCATTATATATTCTACTCCTACCATACTACTCCCTGCATTATATATTCTACTCCTACCTGTATTATACAGTCTACTCCTACCATACTACTCCCTGCATCATACAAACTACACTGACTTGTATCATACAGCCTACCCCAGCTCTGCTGCTACTACACCCACCAGACATATCCGCCCCTCCCCAGCACTGTGTGGTAAAGGCAGATTCTGCAGAAAATGACAATCCACCTGAGTCAGCGAACGGGAAGGAAAGAAGAGAAGATTTCAGCCATGACAAAGGGACGGCTCATCACATGATACATTGTAATCAGAAGAAACTGTAACCCCCGGCAACCACAAACCATCATCCCCCTGAAAATACT